ACCGGAACTGGAGGATTCTGCCGGCGGGAGTTCGTCGACGGGTGGTGCAGCCGGACCGGACGGGGGTGGTTCCGCCGGAGGAAGTGGCAGCATCACGGAGCGCAAGGGCCCACACTGCATGATGCGGCTCGTTGGGATCCTGTGCGAAGACTCCATCCGCCCACTTGTCATCAACAGCCGCTTGCAGGCGACCCGGCAGGAGCTGGACACCTCAGCAGTTGGGCCGCGGAAACACTCGTGGACAGAGGTCACCGACCGCTTCCGAGACCCTCGCCACCATGTGCGTGCTGGGGGTAGGGGGTTGATTGGCACGGATCGGACGAGAACGTTGTACAAAAACAGTTGCCGAAGTGTATGTTGACAACACATGCCGTTCAGTGATAGTTATTTTTAGGCATGGTATTCAACACCTCATAACGTCCACGGACGATCGCGCCATCGTTTTAGGTAAAATGCCACTAGGTATCCAACCCCAAGAGCGGGTCAACCTGCTGTTGACGTCTACCGGTAACTTAAGTAGTTGTTGCTGACGCCGACGACCATACTGCTGTAGATATTGCTGTAGTTGCTTCGTTGCCTATTATAGTGAAAAACATTGAAAACGCGCTGAATTTTGTCAAAAGAATGCACAGAAAGCCAGACAATATTTTACGCCAGAAGAAAATAACAGGCCGGGAAACGACCGACATTGGCCCTTCCCGCAAAAGAGGTGGATTCCCCCCGTTCTTTTTTTGTTTCGTATCGAAATCGAGTTCAATTTCTCGCACGTCCGGGGGGCGTCATCTTTGTAGGTAGGTATAAAGAACACGTGTATGATCTGCGTTGCCCCTTCCCTCGCTCCCTCGCTGGATGTCTGACCTATGGGTGCTGTGGACGTTTTTCAGATGAGAAAAATCGTGGACGACGAACAAGTGAGTCAGTCACGTCAACCCGAACATCATCCAGCAACCTAACATCTCGGCGGAAAAGATCACCAAGATGTGGTCTGCGGCAAAGGCGAAATGGAACACGCCTAATGCCAACTGGAAGAGTGAATCCGGCAACACCAGCCATGGCTTTCATTTTGCCAAGGTAAGAGATGGGTGACGTAGGGCTGGGTATAAAACAGCGTCTGTTTTCTGCAGGAACCTTGGGCGATTTTGTGGCCGTGGCGTCAATTGTGCCGATCCTACTTCAGCGTGTAAGTGCTGCTACGGTCGGAGTTTTGATATTGCACTTGGGGTTGTCGATAGTGTTGTAAGACGTACTCCCGGGATGGCGTCCACCTTGAGGCCTGATTGAAAAGGATTGTCTGCACCATGAACTTTTATCATGTATTTTGAAGCAAGACCAAACACATTTCCAATTGTTCCATACAGACCCTCCCCGCCCGCGCTTTGCGCTTTATTTTTTTTCAACAGGGGACACGGACACGTACATTCTCGGTTGCGCAATCGAGAAATACCCCGAGCTTGACCAAGTGTGCAACAATCTCCTCCCGGAGGA